GGCCGCTTGCCTGGGACCATCTGGAGCTACACGCAGGTGCGGCGCACGGGCGGCGGCGGCGTGGAGACAGTGCAGGGCCCCGGCGTGTCGTGGGTGCACCCCGACGGCGTGGGAGTGCAGATCGACACCATCACGCCCGAGATCCGTGCGCTCTACAACGTGCTGGCCAAGGTGAAGCGCGAGCGCGACGAGTACAAGCGGAGGTGAGTGCGGCCTCGCCTCTCCCCTGTGGCCGCGGAATGTGTGCGTTGCGTTCGGGAGGGGCCGGGGGCAGCCAGCTGGTCCTAGCAGGTGGGCTGCAAACTGTTTGCAGAGGACCCTGCGTGCGCTTGGAAAACTCAGTTATCTGGTTCCAATAACGGGGGCGGCGCTGACTACAGCAGGGGGCACCTCCGAACCTTTGTTGGGCCAGGCGCATTGTTTTGTAGGTGACAAAATAGCCATGGGTGTTTTAAGTCATCTCATTTAATTCTCATAGCAACATGTAGAGCATTCTTATCGCCATTTTATAGGTGAAGAAACTAAGGCACGGAGATGCAAGTGACTTGCCTGAGGGGACTGTCTAGTAAGTGGTGACCCCAGGATCTGAACTAGTGGTTTGAAGTACTCCTGTCCAGTCTGTCTCCCAGCCTAGGTACTTTCCCAAGAATAGGGAGAGGAGCTGCCCTCCTTCCCCAGGTGAAAAGGAAAAACTCTTAAGTAACCCACTGACCTTTTGTTCCTTGAATTAAATGAGATCGTGTATTTGAAAACGGAAGCATCTCGGTCTAGCACTGGGGCTAGGGTCCGTCTTCTTGCTCCAGCTCTAGGATCCAGCTGGCTGGGCTGGGTAACCAGACCTACATTAGATAGGCCACAAGCTTTTAAAAACCCCTGCCTTCACTCCTCTCCCCTGCTATCCTATTGTCATGGTTTATTGGGCCTCAACAAACTCAGCCCTGAAGGCCCACAGAAGGAGGTAAACCTTGGACTGGAAGACTGGACATTGAATGGACCAAGACCACCATCTCTGAGTAGGGTGCCAGGCAGACTGCCTACAGGACCGGCCAGCACATTTCTACCCAGCCCAGATCCCCCAGGTGGGAAAGTAACATTGTTTCCTGCCTACAGCCTGGCTGAGAGGAGTGTGGGCTCCACTTTCAGATGAGAGGAGAGGGGTCTGTCTGTCTGTCTGTAGCAGCTCAGACCTGGGTGGGGGTGTCCCAGCCTGGGCAACTCTGAATTGAGAACTTGGCTCTAAACTCCTGGATTTGGAGGATGTGCTGAGAGGATCTTTCCTTCTTCCACTCCTTGAGTCCCTGAGTCACCTGAGCACAGAGGTCTGCCCAGGGAGCTGGGCATGGGTCTTCCTCCTTTTCCTCTACGGCATGGTTCTCAACCTTCTGGCCCTTTAAATGGGGGTGTCCCAGCCTGGGCAACTCTGAATTGAGAACTTGGCTCTAAACTCCTGGATTTGGAGGATGTGCTGAGAGGCTCTTTCCTTCCACTCCTTGAGTCCCTGCGTCACATGAGCACAGAGGGTCTGCCCAGGGAGCTGGGCATGGGTCTCCCTCCTTTTCCTCTACTGCATGGTTCTCAACCTTCTGGCCCTTTAAATACAGTTCCTCATGTTGTGACCCAACCATAAAATTATTTTCGTTGCTACTTCATAACTGTAATGTTGCTACTGTTATGAATCGTCATGTAAATATCTGATATGCAGGGTGGTCTTAGGCGACCCCTGTGAAAGGGTCGTTCGACCGCCAAAGGGGTCGCGACCCACAGGTTGAGAACCGCTGCTCTACTGGGAAGGCTTCAATATCAGCTCCATCACCTGAGATTATTGAACCACTTAGAAGCCTGCTTGCTCATCAGAGAAACGGAACAATGAAATTCGCTCACAGTTGCATGAGGGGAGAGTAGGGTGGTGATGCTTTTTGGAAGGTATAAAATAATCAGGTTGATGGCATTAAAGATGGTAGTATCTTTGTCAAGCTCGCAGGACACAGGTGCCTGGAGTCTCAGGGCTGTCTCATGCAGGGCCTGGCTTTCTGGGGGTAAGTCTTTACCCCACTGTACACTAGCCACTCTGCTGGGCTGGTTGTCTCTCATGAGAGCTCTCGACTCCTTGTGGGCAGCTTCGTGGGGGTGGGTGGGGTAGACAAACAGGCACTTGGTCTTTATGATGAAACGCAGAGAGGGCTGGGCCCTCCTGTCTGCCACTGTTGAGTGTGTTGTCATGCCCCAGGCTTGTGTTGTGTTGTGTTTTTTTTGTGTGTGTGTGTGTGTGGAGTTGGCTACTAAGGAGATGGGCAAACCATGCCCAATCTTAAAGGGAGGTAGGTTGGCATTGAGCAATGCTCTGTTTAAGTTGTACTCGGGGTGTGGGGTGTGATGTCAGCCTCTGGCGCTGGCCTGGAATGAGATGGGTGCTGCGGAGACAGGTGGAGTGAAGTGTCTCTCTTCCCGCCCTCTGGGATGTGTGTGCACCTTCTCTTCCTTCTTCTTCTTTTTTCTTTTTCTGAAGTTGATTCAGGGCTCAAGTTGGATTTTTCCAAAGCAGTATACGTCCTTACTTGGGCCTCAGTTTCCCTCACTGTAAGCCCCAGGCTTCCTCAGATTCCTTAGGGATTCCTTGAATATTAAATAAAAATTAATATCTAAAGTATATTAAGATGCTTAAATGGTCATAACAATGTGCTCACTCCCTTTTAAGTTCTTAATGTTAACTCACTGAAGTTTACTTCCACACTAACTTGTTAGTAGTCGGACTCAAGTGAAACTTCCCCTTCTGCCATCTCTGTTTGAAGAGTATTTTGAGGTTACAAAGCAAACGGCTAAAAACTATTGCCATTTGTAGCCACCAATCTGTGTGTCAGGATTTTCTTGACACTCTGCAGCCAAAACTGGAGATAAAATTAGACAGAATGTGGAACTGTCACCCATGATCCCAATTCTAAATATTAACGGATCAAAACAGCCCCAGCAACCTCAGCGATTGAATGCAGAATTGGTAGCTGTTATATATTGGAACCTGCACTATAAATGTACACAGCTCCCATTCTGCTTTTACTTGTTTCTATATTCAGGTTGTTCAGAAGAATTGTCTTTTGCGAGGAGAGTGGACATATGATCAACTTTTTAAAAACCACTGGGTTAGATGACCTCAAAGGGTCTTCCGAGCCTTGACAATATGTAAATCTGAGTTTGCGCTCTCAGCCCACTTCTGATTTCCTGTCTATAAGAGAAGTCAGAGTCTGAGGTGTGAGACCAAGGTGTTTGCCGGGGCTGCTGGCCACCGAAGGCTTTGGGGCCTTCCAGGGTGTCTAGCATGGAGCTCCGCGCTGCGAGCAGGGGAAGGAGCCTGTGCCAGGAGAGGTTCCAGGGCTCCTCTGATCCAGCTGGAGGGACTCGCAGCTCAGGGACCCCACTTGCTTCCCAAAGGGCACCTTGGATGTGGAGCTCAGTGTTCTCCAATGTGGAAACTTTTTGGGTTCCACTCCATGACTTACGGCCAGACCCAGGTACCACCACCTGCATTATTTTTTATGTAAGATACTAGAGGCCCAGTGCACAGATTCGTGCACTGGTGGGGTCCCTCAGCCTGGCCTGAGTCCTCTCGCAATCTGAGACCCCTTGGAGGATGTCGGAGGCCCGGTGCATGGATTCGGCCTGATCCCTGCAGGCGTATAAGATCCTTGGTTAATGTCTTCCCGCCCTCCCTCCTTCCCTCTGAGATTCATCAGTCTGTTCCATGTTTCCATGCCTGTGCAATGAGCGTCTTCCCCCTGGTGGTCAGTGCGTGTCATAGTTAATGGTCAAACAGTAGCTTAGGCTCATATATGTGTGTATATATATATATTAACAGCTTTATTGAGTTATATTCATGTCATAAAATCCTCCTATATTAAGTGTAAAATTCAAT